ACAGACTACCTTCCTAAGACACATCATATCAAAGAATAGAGTGCCAGTGAACCCCGAAAAAAGTTAAAGCAGTGCTTGGACGGGAAAAATTAACCTCGATTAAGGAAATCCATAGCTTTTTGGGGATGACAGGTTATTACAACAGGTTTGTAGAATGGTTTTCTAGTCTAGTTGCTCCTCTGACTTGGCTCACAAAAAATAACGTCAAATTTGAGTGGAACGAGAACTATGAGAGAAGCTTTTCAGAACTAAAGAGACGGTTAACTAACGCACCTATGTTGGTCTTAGCGAGCAGATATGATAGATATACAGTTTACAGTAATACCTCCTACCTAGGGTTGGGTTGTGTTTTTATGTAGCATGGGAAGGTTATAGCCTATGGGTCTAAGCAGTTGAACAGTCATGAGAAAAACTACCCCCACCCATAACTTAGAACTTGCCGCGATTATCCATACCTTAAAGACTTGATGCTATTATTTGTATGGAGAGACCTTTAAGATCTATACCGATCATAAGATTTTAAAACACATATTGACTCAAAAGGATTCCAACATATGTCAGAGAAGGTGGATAGAACTCCTCAAAAACTATGGCTATGACATCATATATCACTCGGGTAAGGGCAACGTGGTAGGCAACGCACTCAGCAGGAAAAACGCAGGTATATTAACTTATCTGATGGTTTTAGAATGTAAGCATATAGGGGCTGCACAACAGGTATGGCTTCAGGACCTGAAGAGGGTCACATGTTTGGGCCACCTAAGTATTTAACCAGAGTTAATTTAGTAGAATAAAAGAAGCTCAGTCCGCCGATTCTACCATAGCAGCCCTCAAGAAAGATATAGAAGAAGGAGTTAACTCAAAATTCCAAGTCTCTACCGATGGGTTGCTCAGATTTCATGACAGAGTACGTATTTCAGGTGATGGTGAATTGAAAAGAGACATCATGACAGAGGCCCATAACTCAAAGTTTGTCATGCATCTCGGAAGCACTAAGATGTATTAAAGTATGCGAGCCCGATTTTGGTGGACCGGGATGAAAAGAGATATAGTTGATTTTGTTTCTAAGTGTTTAGTATGCCAGCAGATCAAGACAGAGCATCAATACTCAGGTGGGCTACTTCAGTCATTACCAATTCTGGAGTGGAAGTGGGAACATATCACTATGGATTTTGTGATAGGATTGCTTAAGGCACGCTCAGGATATGATGTCATTTGGGTAATTGTTGACTGCCTTACCAAGTCTTCCCACTTCTTGGCCATCAGGATGACAAATTCCTTGGACAAGTTGGCAAAAATATACATCCAGAAAATAGTCAGATTACATAGAGTGCCAGTGACAATAGTGTCCGACAGGGACCCTAGGTTCACTTCTTTGTTATGATCTAGTTTTTAGCAAGCCATGGGAACGAAACTGTCCCTTACTACTGCATTCCACCCTCAGACCGATAGACAATCAGAAAGGACAATCCGCACCCTTGAGGATATGCTTCGAGTTTGCATTCTTGATTTCGGAGGCCATTAGGATGACCGTTTACCCTTGATAGAGTTCGTCTACAACAACAGCTACCCTAGATGAGTTCTCTCCTCAAACGCGATCAGACGGTCAGATTTAAACGCGATCGGACGGTACAGATTAGATCGTGATAAACGATTCATATTAGATAGTGATGAACGACCAAGATTCACTCCCTATTTAATCACGATCGGACGGTTCAGATCAAACGCGATAGACGATCTAGAATAAATGGAGACGGATATAAATAACTATCTTCACACTAAACTCTAACCCTAGCCGCCATACACCCTCGCCGGAAAAGAAGACACAGCCATCGAAAATGAGAGCCGCTGCCACCCGCTGCCATGCCAGAGATATTTTCAACTGCCAAAAGAGGTAAACATTTTCTCTTTTTCTTGGAATTCAATTTTAAACACTCCCATGGACAAATCGGAGCAAAAGGACAGGGTTGATTGGCCGAAAATTGCGGGCAAAGCCTGGTAGCGTCGCCGCGGAGAATTTCACAAAATGCCTCCGGTAAGGGTCTTCCTAATTCCCGTTCGACGTAACTTTTCCACTATTGTGATAACCGTTTCCTTCTCTACATGTTGACTGGAGCAAAACACTCAACCGTAATGTGAGTCGGAGGAGCCGCTGCACTGGAGAGCCCCGCCGCCAATGAGTTTCGATTTTTTGTATTTTTTTGGTCAACCGAGTCCCCTTAACGTATTTTCTCGCAGGGATTGATACAAAATCGGTCAAGTTCGGTCGAAAATGATCGAAAACAACTGATCCGAGGTGGACCACCGCCGACATGCCAGAATTTCAGAATTGGCCAAAATTGGGTCCTGAGACTGATTTTGGATTTTTTTGGGACATTTAGGTACTTATAGCGTGTTTTAATTTCTAAAGAAAAATTTAGGGAACCCGAGAACTGCCAGTAGGCACAGTCAACAGTTTAGCCTTTCGGACATCAAATTGAGTAAGAATCCATCACTTTATTCCTTGTTATGGAATTAAAGTTTAACTAATAATAATACGATATTTTATATAAATTAGAAAATATTCGTAATTAATTAAATATTACTAATGGGGGGTTACTTATTACTGTTTACTGTGTTTAACTGATTGTCTGATTTTACAGTTTGAATGCACAATAATATCTTATTTATTGATTTTATGGTCTAAATGTATGTATTTGTGCCTTACGTGACTACTGTTAAATTGAAAAACCGAGATATGTTTGCATTCTTTGATGCATGTTTTTTTGTTTATGTGATTACGGTTGAATT